CCCACCACCACCACCCTGGTCACATGACCTCGGGAAGTCACATGAGAGGTCATTATGTGCCCTGTCTGTCACAACACTGAGCAATTGGAGCGCGACATTTGAGTGACAGCTAAAATACACTTGGGGACAGTAACAAGCTAGCCACACAGATCAAAACAACTGATTCATGAGGGAGGAGGCAAGGAGGAGGGAGAAAAGCAGGAAGGGAGAGGAGGAGAGGAGGGGATAGAGGAGGGGGAAAGGAGGGGAGAGGAGGAAAGGAGGGGAGAGAAGGGGGAGGAGGGAGTAGGTGGGAGAAGGAGGGAGAAGGTGGGAGGAGGAGAGGAGGGAGAGAGCATGTGGGAGGGGGAGAGGAGGGTGGGAGTAGGGGGGAGAATGAAAGAGGTGGAAGGAGGCAGGGCAAAGAAAAGAGAGGGTGGGGGAAGGGGAGGGATTTGTTTTAGTAAAAGTTTTATGACACAACACAATAAGGTCATATAAGTGCCGAAGAATAAATGTGTTACAAGAGAGTAATATACCCAAAAAAGGAGGAGAGATAAGGACGATTGATTGGGGTCAAACAGTGTCTTTGTCTTTTATCATTTCAGTTACAATAAAACTAATAAATGGAAGACACACTGTTTTGACAGAGGTTTTTGTGATGTTTCATAGGAAAGAAAGAGCAAACCATACCAGAGCGCCCACCAACCACCCATGAAGGGGAGGGGAGAGACAGAGGAAAGGAAAGGGGAGTGTGAAGCAAGGGGGAAGGGGGGAAAGGGGAGCACATGCCATCTGTCTGACCTGTTGATTTGTTTGAGTAGCGAAACACACATCCACACCATACTGGTCTCTAAGATGAAATGCCACAAAAAAGTAAGAACAGAAGACGGGGACGACAGAAAGTAAGAAAAGAGGTAGGGCCAACAGGTGGTGCATTCTGACCACCTAGTTTGGGACTCTCTGGGAGTAAATTCACCACAAGACAGAAAGGACAAAGGAGAAGAAAAAAGAAACACAACCTACAGATGGCACCTTCCAACCACCAAAAAAGCAGACTAAACTTTGTTTGTTTGAGCAATTGTTTTAGTATGAGTCTTAAGGCACTTGCAACACAACTGGGTCATAATATAAGGGCCGAAGATTCCAGGTATTACAAGTGAGTTACAAACATTAATAAAGGAGGAGAGATGTTGACGATAGATATTTGACAGGAAAGAAGAAGCAAACCACACCAGAGCACCTGTCAACCACCCGCTGTTTTGAGTCAAGAGAAACACACCAACATAATTATAATCATAAATTGCAAGGGAAAAAGCAAGACAGACATACAAGAACAAAATAGGGAAAGAAAACGAAGTATGAGCCATCAACAAAACCCTTCACCCACCACACAGACAGAGACTCTAGAGGGAAAAAAAAAAAGAAGTGCGACACACAAGCAACACCTTTCAGTCACACACACAGAGAAAAAACAATAGCAGGAAAGAAAAAAGTCCAACATACCAGTGACACCCTCCAACCACCCTTATACACAGACAAAAACAATGGTAGCAAAGAAATAGAAAACCAGCTTCACCCTCCAACCACCCGCATTCACAACAAAACAAAAACAATTAAAGAGTAAAGAAAAAGAAGACCAGCGACACCCTCCTTTATTTGTTTTAGTAAAGGTTTTACGGTGCTCGCAACTGCATAAGGTCATATAATAATAATAATAATAATAGATAGCATTTGTATAGCGCATATCCCCGCGTGATATGAGCGCCAAAGGGTGGATGTCAGCAGAGAAGTCCTTACAAGGAATCACGCTTACTCTGCTCACCTCTCTAGCTTCAACAGCACAAAGTCTGCTTCGACTATCAAGGCATCCCGGAATTCGGAAATAGCTGGTCGCAAAAGAGTGGCGCACAAAAGTAATAGAAGAAAAATGACGATAGTAAGGATAAGGAAAGAAAAAGCAGCAGTTCCCTGTTGCAGTTCAGGTACAGTTATGAGCATGACATAAATGAACCAGCCCATTTACAATTCAACTGTGCATAAGAACATGGTTAATGTCCCCCCTTTGGTAATGGCCTTAACTCTTCATGTCCTTAGAGGATTTTCGTTCTGACCGAAGCCTCCCAGGGACTGCTCCTATACAGCAGTAGGGTGGGTTATAAAAGTCTACATAACTTTCAATCTACTAGGCCCACATCAAAACTTTTGGTATGGTTGTGTTAAGAAATGAAAGTTGCATTTATTGGTGTTCATTTTAGATACCTTTACTGAAAAATAATATTAGACTATTCATTTTAGATACCTTTACTGAAAAATAATAATAGACTATTGAAGTAAATGGCCATTAGCAAAAAAAAATTTGAGTAATTATTTGAAGTTTCCAGGTGAAAGATGAGGTGTACAATAACCATTTATAAAAAAGTCACATTCACATAGAATAGGCCTACATATTACGATGAACTAACCTGAATAGAGCCTCAACAAGATCCAACATCTAGATATAGATTTATAATATCCAAATGGAATGAAAACTTTGTCACTGTATAATCCAAACAATAAAACTGTCACTATAATTATTTCAGGAGCAATCTCCAGCCATGATAATCTCCCTAACCAAAACACAAACAAATTATACACAAAAAAATCAGCTGTTTAGAAACAAGCCATCAAATCTAGCATACGCGCCCACACAAACGCTACAAAATGAAAGTACAAACAGAAAAAGACCTATTTTCGGCATTTGCTACCATAATTTCGGTTGATGTCGTGAAATATTAGTTTCGCGTGTATTTAATGAAGGCTAGTGTAGCCAGCCGGTGTCAACGGCTCGCCGGCCAAACCCACTTCGCGCCGAGCCGCTCCCACCGGCTCACCGGACATGAAGAGTTAAGACACTTCAGTCAGTAGCACCGCCCCGGTGGTGGTGGGGGGGGTGGGGGGCCTCCAGCTGCCCACATTCACAAACAAAAACAATTACGAAAAAGAAAAAGAAAACCAGTGACACCCTCCACCCACGGGTAAAAAGTCAAAGTTGTAAACACTTACTTGTAGTAGCAGACACCAGCCATCAATATTCCGATGAATCCTGTTACTGTGGCAACTGCACACACAACTGTGGACAAGAGAACATCTTTGTGGTTAACTCATCTTTCAAGACATAGCAGACACATATATGTGTGTGTGTGCCTGATGAAAGGTACCAAGTGATGCATTTTGAAGAATCCTGTTTTTTGGTGGGTTTTATGAGCATTGTCATGTACAGAGATCATTTTTGCACAATATGCTTTTTAAATTTGTAAGATACCTTCAGTCGTTTTTTTAGATATGGGTGATTTTGTAAGGCAGGGTGCAGAAACAAAATTTTGAGAAAAACGGCTCAGAAGATTCCCCTTTGCTCCTGCTTTGTGGATTGCTTGCGACGATATAATGATATTGATGACAGATCAAGGCTTGGCACAGAAAATTTGGAATAGTCAGAGGAGACAGCACCATGCTGACGATAAACTGTGAGGAGTCTGGGGTAGATAATTGTGACAATGACGATAGATCATGAAAACAGGGGAGATAATACCACAATGAATAACTGGTGATTGATCATGGCTAGGCATGAAAAAAGACTTAGTATCCAGAAAATTGTATTCATTACATTACATTTTAAGAATAAAATTATAGAGTACAGCCCCCACCCCATGTCTTTACTCGCACATTACGGCCATAATAACCCCCTGTTCCCTTTCCCCCTGAGACATTTTTGCAGCCCCATTGTAACCCCCTGCTGTTGTGCACTAGGTCAAGCAATTACAAGAGGGTGGGCTGTTCTTTACTTTCACTCATATTTTTTTCAATTTAAAATGGATTAGCTGTTCTTTACTTTCACAGAGATATTTTTCCAGTTACAAATGGGTGAGCTGTTCTTTGCTTTCGCCCCACAATCTTCTTGGGGGAAAACAGAGCAAATCGGTTCCTTTTTAACTGTTTGATTTGTTCTCCCTATATCCACACGATCATCTTAGAGAATAAATTTTAAAAAAAAAAAAAAGAAAGCAAATTGGTTCAACTTATAGATTAACTGGGTGATTTGAACTACAAGAAAAAAAAAAAGTGATTTGTATTATCTGTACCCCTTACATCCAAAGGTGGTGGGGACAAACCCCAAAGGGTTCTACTCACATACAAAATTTTTGTCATCGGTTGCCATAAACTTGGATCCCTCTTCTTCCTGAGAAGGGCCCGGGTGATGAAAACGAGCTGTCTTGCCAGGCGGTGCATGCGTCTCAGGGGCAGCGTTCTCCGGCTTGTCAGTTTGAATGTCCCCCCCTGGTGCAGCAGGAACATACTGGGGTTCGACTTGTTCTAGATTGAGTCCCTGAGAGTTGCCCTGGGCCGAGACTTGCTGGTCAGCGTTCTCTCCCTTTTTGTCTGGACAAACCCAACAGAAAATTTTCAAAATAAACAAATTAAAAAATACAAATAAATAAACAAAATTCCACTTTAATTAATTGATTCCGTAAGGGAAATTTTAGTTAAATTTTAGTTTTGAATTTGAGCAAAAAGGAAAACATTGACAAAATAGTTGTAATTTAGATAGGAAAAAAATAAAATACGTAAGAGGCAACGGATAGAAGTAGAACCTAGCTAAAAAGTAACAACTGCAGCCTATTGTTTGTTAGCTTGCTGGAGTTGAGGGAAGCACATGTAACTACACAGTATCGGCTACTCAAAAAGCGGAGTAAGACAGACACGTAGAAAGCAGGGGAAAGAAAAGAAGTAGGAACTGCAAAGTCCAATAGCGCCTTCCAACCACTCACACAAACAGAAACAACAGAGAAAGAAAAGATGCAGGACCTGCCAGTAACATCCCCAATCACCCACACAGATGGAAACAAGTCAGGGGAAAGAAAAGAAGTACGAACTACAAATGCTGCCCTCAAACCACTCACAAATGCAGTTTATATTATGTTTAGTTTTAGTAAGAATTTTACAGCACTTGCTACACAATAAGGTCATATAAGTGCCGAAGATTAGAGGTGTTACAAGAGAGTAACAAACACATTTTTAGAAGGACGGGAGATAAGGGCGATAGATGTTTGATAGGAAAGGGGAAGCAAACCATACCAAAGCACCCATCAACCACCAATGCAGTTTATATTGGAAATTGCAGATTTAATTGTTTTAAAGACAAACAAAAAAGTACCACATAGCGACGGCAGCCAAAACATACGAGAAACCACAACGCATCACAGCAGTCACCCTGACTAAACTAATGTCACCTAAATACATACATAATGAGGTCCCACCAACCGAGTTGATTACCCGTAATGATTATGACCCAAGAGTCCCAGAAGTAATTATCACAGGTCACCAAAAAATGTCCACCATTGAGTAGAAATGGGTTGTGAGTGCCACCATTCATCATACTATCATGACAATAATTGCTTCCACAAAGCATGCTCCTATTATTGATACTTTTTTCTTAAATTGCTCGTTCCCACCACTATATCCGTTACTGTGTCAAGTGCATCTCTTAACTCAAATAGAAACAAATAAAATGCAGTTATTGCATGTCACTCGATGTTGTATCCCTTTAGATAAAAGAGAGTAACAAACAAAAAAAAGGAGGAGAAATCAGGATGACAGATGTTTAAGTCTTAGTAGATCTAAGTGTTTTACAGCACTTGCAACACGAAAAGGTCATATAAGTGCCGAAGATTAGAGGTGTTACAAGAGAGTAACAAACACAACAGAGAAGGAGGGGAGATAAAGATGATAGAAGTTTGACAGGAAAGAAGATGCAAACCACGCGCACCCGCCAACCATCCATGAGTGGAAGAATAAGTGTTACGAGGAGGTAACACTCAAAAAGAAAAAGAAAGAGAGATCAGGACGATAGATGTTTGGTAGGAAAGAAAGAGCTTTTAGTTTTTGTAAGAATTTTACAGCACTTACAACACAATAAGGTCATATAAGTGATGAAGATATAAGAGTTGTTACAAGAGAGTTACAAACACAGAAAAGAAGTAAGAGAGATCAGGAAAATACATGTTTGATATGAAAGAAGGAGCAAACCACACCAGAGCACCCACCAACCACCAGCAAAGAAAGAGCACTGCCTGTATGAAAAATATAACAACAACACTGCAGTTCACACCGTCAATTTGACTGCCTATATGGAGAACATGACAACAACAGCAACACCTGTCTATATGAAGATTATGTTGGCAAAAAGCAACACTATTCACAGTGAACTCCCTGCCGGTATGAGAACATAACCATAACTATAACAACAACAACAGCAGCAGAAGCACCATCAACAGCAGCAGCAGCAGCCACAATAACAGCAACAACAGAGCTCACACAGTCAATCAACTCACCGGCCTGTATGGCAGGTCCCCGCTGCAATGCATTGTCAAGCTTCTGCTGCTCTGTCAGTTCTTCGATGATTTTGGCGATTAGTTTATCGTTTTCAGGAGCAGAATCTAAGATGGAAAATGGATTTTTTTTTTCATATTGGTGTCAGAGATTAATTCTGAAAGAAGCAGCTTTGAAGGGAATGCTGAACTGCTACATATAAAATTATGTGACCAGTGCTGTTATCAACATCAAAACAAGATTGTGTGTCTGTGATTGCTTAAAAGAATCTTTTTTAAAGGATAGTGTGGGGGGGGGTGTACTATGTTCCAATTGTAATCTTTTCTCATGTCTGTCCGTCTGTCTCTCCTCTCTCTCATCCCTTTCTCTCTCCGGCACAAATTTGAGTACAGACATTCCCACAAAAAAAAGCGTGCACACACACACACACCCAAGTACTCATGATCAATAATGACAAACATCCCCTTTGTAACTGGATGACATCTAATAACCAAAAAAATCTTTCCTCAGAGAACATATATGCAGTAAAACTCTGATAACCCGAACTTCATGAGACCAGAAAATATCGTCGTGTTAAGCAGAGAGCTAATGAAAAGAACACCAAAAAAAGGCGAATTGACTCTTCCCTTACTTATTCAGATGAAATGCTAGGCCTCGGGTTACCAATTTTTAGCCATTAATAACACGGTCAGAGCTACCAACCTTGGGAAATCAATAAAAGGGAAACCTTATTTTCATCCTCAAGACCGATGTCTTACTTATCTGCACAGAATGAGGCTAGAAGAAGATTGTAGGTTTTTACTTGATGGTTTTCCAAGCTACTTCTCAGTTTACCAAACAATAACAAAACAAGGATGGAATTGATAAATCTTAGCGGCACATTATAAAGAATATTAGAAAAAATATTTTTTTAAACGAGACATTACTATCAAATTAGGAATGGTTGGCAGATTCTCAGTGGGGTTTTTTCCTGTCTCGTAAAGTGTGTGTGTGTGTGTGACTGTGTGTGCGCGTGTGTGTGTGTGTGTGTGTGTGAGTGTGTGTGAATTGTGTGCTGTGTATTTACAACAGTACGCAACTGTGGTTCGAGAAAAAAAAAAAGAAAGGAGAAGTGTCCGTGTAGAGAGTGATGAAATAGTCCAAAATTCATTCATATTAACTAGATAGATCTGATGATTTGTTTCATCCTTTTAAGGAAAGATAGTGGATAGTTGCAATGCAGAAAATAAAGATGAAAAAAAAGAAAGAAGGATTTTAAATCCTTTCGTGTTAACAAGAATCTTGTGTTACCTCTTAAAAGACATAACGGACACACGTCCGACCAGCAGCAGACCAATGGCAGTGTTGCAATAGATTTAGAGCCATTTCACATAAATGAGTAACAAAAATTTGTATATCTCACAGTATGCATGTTGTTCTTAGGTTTCTAAGTTTCAAATAAAGGAAACAAATGAAAAATCGGTATGAGAAACGAAATTGCTTGTTTTTTTAAAGTGCCCCCAAAACAGTGCATCTTCAACAGGTTAAGCGGCTTCAAGTCTACTGTATGGGTATTAGGAATGTTGGTCGATACACATTAAAGCTCACCAGAAACAAAGGCACTTTTTAGCACAGATTTCAATTTTGATAAAGTGGTTCAACCCCCCCCCCCCCCCCGATAACAGTCCGGAAAATTTGGCTTGGTCACATTGAAGAAAATGATCTGGCAGGGGGAGTTAATAAATCATGACCCTGTAGTGACGTAGCACTGGGAGAACATCTCCCACCCTGTCACTTGAACTGCCAGCTGTGGTGGGCATTGTGTCAGCTGGGCACGAAGCACAACACACATTAGATGATATATCAATGGCTCAGAGCTAGAAGTTACTCTTGTAGGCCCTACAGTTTAACGCCCACATCAATACTTTCTAGATAATTAAAGATCGCAGTGGCGGTCGACCTTTTTAGTAAGAGTTTTACAGCACTTGCAACACGAAAAGGTCATATAAGAGCCAAAAATTAGAGGTGTTACAAGAGTAGCAAGCACAAAAAAGGAGGAGAGATAAGGACGATAGATGTTTGATGGGAAACAAGGAGCAAACCACACCAGAGCACCCGCCAACCACCCGGGGTAGACCTTTTGTTCCACTAAACTGACTGTAAATGTTTCAAGCCCCCATTTGAAACAATTTAGATAATTAAGGAGGCAGGCTGCTTCCACCCAGCCTATCGGAACCAACTCAGGCAAACAGGGATACAGCTTCCCAACAAACTTTTAGAGATACTAGTAGGGAAAAAAACAAAACAACCAACCTGCCCACTTGAAGAATCAAACTTCCATCTTGTACTAAGTGACTGCAAAGAGGCAAACCAACATACCAGAGATGCCACAATATCCATGTGACTATGTCTAAATTTTTCAGCTTTGAGAAAAATGGATTTTTACAGCAAAAGCATAACCGCAAACACTTAAACACAGAAACATAAAAGGAAGTGTAAGACTGCAGTGAAACCACTGGCTAGATGGCTGTGATATTTACAGACTATGTGAGATGTCATTTGAATGCTTCAATTTGATTATTTTTAGCATTTTGGTCAAAATAGATATTATAGTCACTTCTGGCTCTCAGTCTCTGCTGTGATATATATCATATTACAAAACTCCAGAGCGGCTCTTTTGAAACACACGATGAAACACGAGTATAATGTCCACATCTCTGACACATTGACATTAATTTAAGTTGTTACAAAACACAAGAGTTTCACATCAATTCAAACTTGAATGTATTGACCAAATTCCAGGTCGCTTACACTTTATGATAAAAATAAACTGACACAATTACAAGGTTGTTATTATTTCTCAAAGTTCATTCAAGGACATAATATTGTTTCTTTTGTCACGAGCAAAAAGAAAACATTTTTTTTTTAAAGGTAAATAATTATATTATATGGTGTTTACATTATTTACTGTGCTAAAAACTTTGACAAACTCCCATAAATATCTCTACCCAGTTTTAAACTCCACACCACTAAAAAATGTACATAACAATATTATATTAAAATCAAACCCCAGACCTTAAAACAGAGAGAATCCCCTTTACTCTTGGAGGGGGAAAAAAATCCATGTTAAAAAATTGATTCCTATGATGACTGCCTAGCAGTATCATCCTGGCAAAACCTGTTGTCTGTGTTGCTAGAACAGTTTCAACAGTTATCTGTCTTTAGCTTTCTTTATTCATCATGAGAACTTGGAAGTAGTGCATAGTTGAAGGGTAAAATACTACTCTCAGCCTTCACTATCACAGTTCCTTCAGGAAAAAGTAAAGAAGTCTATAAATAGAAGCAATCATGTCTTTACATTCAACTTGACCTAGAAAAGGTTACATAATTCTTCCTGTCATGTCTAGCAGACATCTGGGAAAGTTCCCATGCACCACCGCCACAACCATAGAGTGTAGAATGGTTTGGTTACATGGTAGACCAACACAGGAAGGGAGGGGTGAGACAGAAACACAGAACAGTTTTCTTTGTTCCCACGCCACACCAAGAACTATGACATTATACAATAGTTTTAGAATCTGGTAAAGCTTAAGAAAAAAGACATGCTTGTAAGAATGTAACC